GATTCGGTACATTTCAGGGTACATTTCAAAATACTGTTCTGTTTTGTCCGAAAAATTTTTAAATTGATTTGATTCCCTATTTCAGGAATACAACTTCTTATACAAGCCCGGGAATATTTATCAACCGCCCCCTTTTGTTGGTAAGTATTATGCAAGATTGTCACTTGGTTACTGCGCTAGGGTTTAGAAGTTTGTCTGAAGCGCGGGAAGCGACAGGTCCAGGCTCGAGTCCTCAGTGGCCAGGGACATTGTGTTGTGTTCTTGGGCAAGACACTTTACTCTCACAGTGCCTCTCTCCACCCAGGTGTACAAATGGGTACCGGCGAATTTAATGCTGGGAGTGACCCTGCGATGGACTAGCATCCCATCCAGGGGGGAGTAGAAATACTCCTAGTCGCTTTGTGTCACAGAAACCAAGCTAAGCTTCGGCCTGATGGGCCACTTGGCTCGTATACAGACTTTACCTTACACACCTCGCTAACCTAACACAGTCTATTTAGCACAAGCATGCTCGGTTTGAAGGTTTTAGAACTTTCCTGTACGTATTTAAGAACATTATCAACGTTTTCTTGAGCTATGACAGTATGGGTAAATGTACCAGTCGCCATGTTTTATCCCACGGAGGATTAGTCTTTATCGGGACAACCTATTGATACAAGAGAGGACGATCATCGTCCCTTGACTGGTAGCAGTTTTACCCATAAAACGGAAGGAGACAACCTATGAAAATAAATGTTTAAGTACCATTCCACTGCCAAGGGACACCCCATTCCGAGATGGAGTAAGGCTGCGATAAGGAGGTAAATCAAACAGATGCGACTTTCATTGTTTAGATTTCAGGATGTTATTTTCAGCATCTAAATAGGCCAATCACAGGCTTGAAGCACCTAGGTAAAGGTAAAGTCTGCATACGAGCCAAGTGGCTCGTCAGGCCAGAGCTTATCCCGGTTTCTGTAGCATGAAGCGATGGAATGCTAGTCCATCACAAAGTTACCGCCAAGAATTAAATTTGCCGGCACCCATTCGTTCAGCTGGGTGGAGAGAGGCACTGTGAGAGTAAAGTGTCTTGAAGCAGCTCGGGTCGATCTATCTAAATTGAGTCTGATCTCATGTAAGCGTTCCGTTGAAATTACTATCATTTATTACTTTACAAAACTTTACTTACTTTCCTTGGCCACAGAAAGAACCTTTAAAATCATCCAGATCCAGAGCCCAGAACATGGCACCAAGGAGATTTTTTCCTTTGATCAGAGTATTCACCTTCAATACCAAACTCGCCCTGTCGTCAAACCCCACCCACTGATCACCGACGTATCCATACGGGGCTCTCACTGCATTGTCCTGTACCACTGTCAGACCCATCTTACATATCTCGTAATAGGACAGGAACCCCCCTTCTCTAGTGTACTTCCCAGGGGTAGCCTTTCCTCCGGCTGGCGCTCCAAGTCCATTTTGGCTAGGGTTGGATAGTTTGAACGCTCGACCATACGTACCCAGTCCTAACGCAATTTTCTTGCAGGGCATACCCTAGTGAGGAAATGGTTTACGATCGTTACGTATACAGCTCATGCAAGTTCTGTGTTTCTATAGTGATGGGCAGCGTCTACAATACGCCGGAGGAACTTGAAAACGCAAGTTTATTTCTACGGTTAGGCCTACCGTCCACACTAATCCGTCACGAAAACGAAGCTTTTCGAAAACGCTCTTCAAACCGGAGGAATTTGAAAACGCCGGCTTTCGTTTTCGTGTGGACGGAAAACATTTTGAAAACGGAGCTTTTCGTAAACGATGACGTCACGATAATCACGTGATTTTCCTGCCCGAGTTTTCCTCAAACACAAATCCAAAATGACCAGTGATTGTCGCGTTTTTAACTTCCTCCGGCGTAGTTTGGACGGAAAACATTTGATGCGCTTTCAGAGTGAAAGCTCCGTTTTCAAATCCTTCGGCGTAGTGTGGTCAGGGCCTTAAAAGTACAACTGCTAGCTCGCTTACACGGTTTGTCTCTAAATGGGATTGTTTATAAACTGAGGGCAGACCAGCTAATATCAACTATATCTCTTACAAAGCAATACAATTATATTGAAGCGAACCCATGCTATTAACCTTATTGCTATGGTTACCTTATCCAGCCAATACTGCACAGCGTACGAGACCGTCAATGTATCCCCTGAGGGACCCTCTAGAGCAGTATGGTGTCCAGTTGTTGGGTCCCAGCTTCCATGAAGATCATAGGCCATCAAATTGATAAAATCAAGTATTCCCGCCAATTTACTGACTTCGTACGCTTTGTCAACTGTTCCCACGCCAGCGGCCACGGCTGCCGTCAGCAGGAGGCGCGGCTTTCCGCTTCCTGCAGACTCTTTCTTGAAAGCGGTCAATAACTCCTGGCAAAGGACCGTAAAGTGTTGTTTGTCCTCTGGTGGAGAGTTTCCACGGTTCCCGGGGTATTCCCAGTCCAGATCAAATCCATCGAAGTCATACTGTCTCAGTAAACTGAATAATCACGTGTTAGTGTGATTAATACAGTAGCTTTAAAGGCAAATTTCTCAGTTCTTACTTGTTAGTCATTTGCTAATAAAACAAAACAGTTAATGTTCGCGGGCATAAATATGTTTTGGGCGCGGCTCAGACTCATTTTAGCCCGAACCGCTGGCGAGGGTTAAAATGAGCTCTGAGAAAGGCCCAAAACGTATTTATGCTCAAGAACATAAATTATGTTACTATTATTATCACTTTTGAAAATAAAAACTGAAAAAATGACAACAACACAGTCTCTACAATTACGCGAGCGTTTACGAGTTGAATTGCTTTTATTTTCCCTCAATGAAAATACACAATACAGTGCACAGTCTTGCCATTTGAGTTTTCCAAATTGTAAAAGACATTAAAGGAAAGTTCGATGAAGCTTACTTGCCAAATTCACCATTTAAGCCCGCAAAATGCGCCACAATGCCCGACAAAGTGATAATAATGGAGATTAGAAATACAGAGTTTATGCTGCTCACCTGATAACAGAATCAGTGAAGACTTTCCGACTAGCTGCCGAGCTCACCATACGTGAAAATGGACTCACTGCGCCACTCTCGTGATTCCATCCGCCAATGGCCAGAAGTGTCTTCAACTCAGGGTTCTTTTGCTTGAGATTGTTAAACCGAACGTACATTTTATCGTCATTCCATTCGTACATGGCGATCTTGTTACTTGCGTCGATTTTGGCGAAGGAGTAGATGATGTGAGTACAGAGGAATGGGTCGAGATCTTCGGGGAAGAACTTTGCTCCCTCTGGTCGATATTGTGCCCAGTTGGTGTAGTAACAAACTCGGTAGTAGGCATCGCAGCTTGCCGACAGAGCCATCAAGGCTATCAGTAGAGTCAAGGCTTGCATGTTTATTGGACTACTACTTTCCGAGGATAAAAAAAGGAGACTATTAACAGCTAGGTGGAAAAACTGTAACCACGTTATTCAACTACGAATGATTGCGCCTGTTTGGGACCACCTTCGTTGTCAATTTCTAAACAGGAAATAATTACTACTGTTCCATCTTAGGATACTATCAGTATTACTCCATGTGTTATACAAGTTAAATTGCAAGCCATGAATATGGGCTATTCTACCAGTTGTTTTCGGTTCAAAACTAGAATGTGGTAGAAAGCTATCTATAAAAAAACAAGTGTAACGTTGCAAAATAATTTTTCAAACCCCTATACCCGGAGAAGAACTGGCTCAAACCCGACGCAAGCCACGTCCTAAAGAGCCTGTCATTAGTTCTCTACACTCAAGATCAAACTGTTCTTGCTTGGTGTTCCTTCATCTAGCCTCCTTTGTAACTTTTTGTTTTTCTAGAAATCACACCTAAATCGATTTACTCTAGGCCAACCAAGGATGTTTCTCAAAGAATTGTGTTCTTTGATGTGACTTGATGTTCTCGGCTCAAAAAATATTCTCTGCTACGAAGAACGCAAGTATCATTGCCAACGGACAAAAGAAATCATTGAAAGAGTTACCTCAGTTGAGTTGAACAGCGCTGGTTAAGAGTGGAGACACCCTCAAAGTGTTCACTTGAAGCTACTGTGTCCTTTAACACTTCGAAAAGATTTCACAACACCTGTCTTCTCACGCACTTGTTGTGTTCCCAACTGCGCCAGAGCAGACACAGGCCAACAGAAGAAAGACGCAAGTCCAGCTGAGCTCTCAAATCTGAGCAAACTCGGCTTCTTTCCATTCCGATCTATTTGTTAGTATTGTGCCTGCCCTCTTGTCAAAGATGTACATACTGATGCCCCATCCACACAACGCCGGAGAAATTTGAAAAAGGAGCTTTCACTCTGAAAACACATCAGATGTTTTCCGTCCACACCATACCGAAGGAATTTAAAACGCAACAAACATCGGTCATTTTGGGTTTGTGTTTGAAAAAAAACCCGGTCAGCGAAATCACATGATTATCGTGACGCTGTCGTTTTCGAAAAGATCCGTTTTCAAAATGTTTCCCGTCCAAAGCCGGCGTTTTGAAATTCCCCTCGTTGGAAGAGCGTTTTCGAAAAGCTCCGTTTTCGTGACAGATCAGTAGTGTGAACGGCAGGCCTAACCGGAGAAATGAAGCTGCGTTTTCAAATTTCTCCGGCGTAGTGAGGACGCTGACGGAGATCATGTCGCCGAAAACCGACTGAAATTCCAATTGGCGGTGTATTTGATAGACTAAATTCTACAAGAACACCAACATGGAATGAATATACTACAGACTTGTCTGTTGACATTGGAAACTGCTCTTTGTGGCAGTTTTCCTTCCCTGCCAAGCTCACGATGTCAATTCTCAATACTGATCGCCATAAATATCTGGTGGTTTATCAAAGCAATTTTCCCTAGTTGCTGATTTTCTTTTTTCGTTACCTCTCTGCTCGATATTTAGAACATTGTATTGATATTTGCATGGAGAAAATGATTGTTCATCTTTTAGTAATGACCAGATAACGTGCGCGTGAGATCTCTTTTAACAAACGGTTCGTGTTTTAGCAAAGACAGAATCCTATGTTGAATGATGAACAGCACTATTCAAGAAGAAATTGAACCCCATTGGGTCTTTTATGCTTCAATCAAAATTTAATGCGCCCTCTAGTGTGTAGCCTGCAGGACTACCTTTTTCCAAGAGCGCGCGTCTTTAATACGCCGTCACGAGTTGGACACTCCCCAGTCTTTGTCTACTTCCAAAATCTAAATTTCACGAGTAATTCTGCCCGTCTACTCACCAAAAATACTCCTACACTGATTACTTTTTGGTTTTCACGTCAAGTTCTTTTCTCACTGAAGAAGATAGTTCTTTGCTCGTGCACTTGTTGTTTGCATAGCTGTGCCAACGCAGCAAACAGACAAACACGTCTGGCTTTGCTCTCTCATCTGTGCAAAAGCACAATTTCCTCGGAAGATGGCACTCTATTAAGGGCTCTTCAGTATATTAGCTCGTCATTGCACTTTGGTGAACTAAAACGGACTGAAATAAAAGGAACCTCCGACTTTTCAAGTTCTAAGTGAAGCTCGTAAATTTGTCCGAAGTTTACACCAAGAATCACTCACTATCCAGTAGATGGCGGGATTTATACGGTGGAGAGAGTTACCCACCGTTTGAACTGGCCGCCTACCAAATATATGCTAACTCACTAGACAGAACATTGCGTTTGTGGACTTTAAGAACTGCAGTTTATCTTCTACCTAATTTCATCCCGTTAAACTACACAGCTAGCCTTTCACTCCAAAGATTAAAATCTAGTGGCCTTTCGGAAATAATAGGGAGTTTAAGCAAACCACAATAGCAACAGCAACGTCACCAAACAAAACATTTCTTTGCCGTTCTCTACAAAACAATGACGCGAAATGACCGAAATTTGCGTAGTCTGGAGAACGCGAACCTGTCTGGGAAGCTCTGACAATGATAGACAAACTAAATGAATCTAAATTTTTACGAGGTTCATAGGTTGAATATAAATGCATTCTTCAATTGACGTTGTCCTTGGCGCGGCCGTTGGGTACCTGGAAAAAATATCACCACGTGGACTCGCAGTAATACGTCAAAGGGATTTCTCTTTATTAACATCGAACAGTGTTTTAACAGAGGAGATACATTGTTCTCTAGAACAAAAAGTCATAAATAACCTAAAGTTTATCAGGAATACGTGTGAAAATATATTTACAGTTACGCAAGACGGAGACTTCAGAAGGGAAGTGTTTTGCTTCGCATCTCACAATTAAGTTCCTTGTCTGGTGTGAGAACTCTGCAAAAGAGGCTACATTTGAGAAACATACTAGAACAGAACTTTCATAGATCGATATTTACACTGTAACAAAGCTAAATTGCTTCGTTTGCGTCACATCTTATCGGGCCCATTCCGATCCGCCTTGAGATGAACGGTGGTCGGTCGACGAGAAACACAAAGGCGACATCAGTGCAAGGGAGTTTGGCTCAAGTTGAAGAATGATCAGAAACTCTAATGGACAAAAAAACAAAACCAAACGAAGAGTCGGCAAAGGGAAAGCCTCTTGTCACAGTAGAGAGTTGTAATAGACCTGCTCTGGGAAGAAAGTGTGTGAATTCTCGGCGAGATATCTGTAAACAGAAAAAAAAACAATAAATGAATTATTTTGAATTGGCTCGAGGATCCTCCGCGACGGAAGAACGCAAACAAACGAGCAGAGGCGAGCGGCGAAACCGCGGATTTTTGGGCAAAAGAGAGACTGCTCACAGTGCAAATTATCACTGATTTCCAGGTCTTATAATACGAATTTAAATTGCGAGGCTCTCTGATAATACTGTACTTTAAAGTAACTTTGTATCAATAATCTTATCCCATCTCTTCTCAACTTCTGTATTTAATTTCCCTCAACTTTTGTGTTGCAAAAAGTCGCGCGTTTTGTTTTTAAACCAAACAAGACAGCACAATAATGTTGTTAAACATGAAATAGTGACACAAGGGAAACGTTTGAAAACAAGAATCCACTGGATACACTGAGAACTGACAAGTTTGTTTCAGAAAGTATGGACAAATATGAGACAAAGACTTCTAGTCACCCACACAGGTGACCCCTGCTTTGTACATACTATTAAAATGGTTAATTTATATCTGGAAGAGCACTTACTTGAGGAAAGTATTAATCTGTTCCAGAAGCGCACATAGATTCTTTTCAGGCATGTCTGTTCTCGCTAGCAAACCGGGAAGTTTAACTATACAGGAAAATGGAGCAGTGTTACCAACGCAAAATCTCAGCTCTGCGTTTATTTACCTACATGTACTTCTCACTAAAGAAAGAAACTTAAAACGAAACACAGAAAGTCGAAAGTACTGATTTGTTCAAGGTTACAGCGAATCTCATCAGAAAATGTCATATGGCTAACTTTCCTCGCTTGACCGCCTGAAAAGTTTTAACACTGATCTCGCTTCCAATGCGTTCACCGCACGTTCACCGCACGTTCACCGCACTGCAGCCGCGAGAAAACGAAACATCGCGCCAAAGTGCTCAAGTCACTGTGAGGCGAAAGTGAAACGAATTTCAACTGGAAATAATTCCAACAATAATTTTAAGAGTTTGCGTCAAAATTAGCACACAAGAAACTGTGGTTCGGGAATGACAAACGGCGAAGTTTGCAGCCTTCTACAAAGAAGGTGTGGAGAAGTTCGGTTGTGCAACTTCGGAGTCTCCTTCGGAAGACATTAATCCATAGTAACTATGATTAACCTAAATACGTTGCTCGTTAGGGCGAATATTAAAAGAGAATTGTCATCTCATGGCTCGGTTGAGTTTATTTACAGGAGCAATCGATCAAGCTAGCAAGTTTGCAAGTCTATAAAAACATTCGACGCATTTTTCATTATCATTGCACACAATTACTGTTTTTGTATTCGTCTCGATTTTCAACATCGCGTGACAAACTGAAAGCGGTGCTTCAATTCTGCATATAAACAAGCAGGCGAACTTTTCACAAAGTCTTTATAGATTCACCCGGAATATAAACTGTACATAAAAGGATACTTGGCGCTTAACTCGGTAGATTAACATCTTTCATCTACTCCACACATCACCCCAAGAGGCTCAGAAGAAGAAAGCGAATTAAATTGCTCGCCTTGAATTTAGATAAACTATTTCACACAAGAACCGTCCGAAAAACTATCAGGGTCGAGTTCCTTTGGACGGAAAATGAGTCTCGTCCTGCTCTGGTTTGGTACCGACCAAGAGAAGTTTCACATTCAGAGCGGAGTGTATAATATTCAGTTGTCGAGTCACTAAAGCGTATTATTGGCAGGCGTCACTCGAGATTTGGTTGCGGAAAAAACCGCACTTTCAAATGCTGGGTCAAAGGTCCGCGGAAAAACTGCAAAAAATGTATGTGTAATTTTTTTTTTACGTCAACTGAGAGAATAACACACGGCTGGTAACGCAATGCAAGACAAATTTCTGAAAATCTGAGAAATTTTTTCCCGACTTTTCCAATAAACCGATAGTGACGGCGACTTTTCAAACAACATCTCCAAGAACTCATCGGCTTCACGCAGACCAGTGACTTCAGTGAAGACCATGAGGACCATGAGAAAATGTGGTCCTTTTTTTCACTGTCTGAGCATCATTTGTGAACGTTTGGAGGCAAATTTTGCTATTTTTATAATTACAACAAACGACGGTAGGCGGTATTAACGATTTCAGCATTTACCCAAACTTAATTTATATGCAAAAGTCTCGTTCTTTTCGTTCTCGACCCGATGGCGGTTCGTGTCCATGAAGTATGAGAAAAAAATGTGTGGAGTTGAGAAATCATGTCAGAGCTATAAGTAAATCTCAATCAGGTAACATGTAAAAATGCTATGATTTCTTACCGAATAATCTTAATAGATGTTCCGCTCCATAGATTTGAGAGGGCATCGTGTGTGTGAAGACACTCAGCGAGCTGGGAATTGGCGAAGTTGGAAAAGCACTCGCTGGTAAAGGAGCATCGGAAAGTTGTAACTGACTGTCTTCCATCTCCGCTGCTTTCTGTAAAGGAAATATAATGAACTTAGGGGAGGTGTCAGTCACGGACTAAACAATGTAGCATGCGCTCACTTTACGAAGTAATTATCAGAGAAAAATCTGGAGAAAACGCCTGTTTGCCCTGTCTTCCCACGCCCATCTTTGAGCTTGCCATGCTTTCCTCAGATATTTAGCCTCCTTGGCAGAGACTCTTTAGGTTCCCGAGACATGTTAGGATCTAGTGTAAACTGCCGAAAATAAACCTGTGGGTCATCGATTTCTTCACAACAAGGCGTTTTCTTGGGACAATTTTAGTGGGAATTTATTACCATAATAATTATCTTCCAGATATTTGTTTTGTACAAACTCTACTTTTTTCGTGCTTAAAATTCGCATCCCGCCGGATCGATGCACTGTGAAAATTTTGGAAGATTTCACCTAAGAAAATCACAAATAAAGCCACAAAAACGGCAAAAAAAGCATTTGTTTGGGCATTTATAATTCAAGACTAAACGCCAAGATTTTAACAGAGATGATAGTAAAACATTATACGATCATTGCTCATCACATGTCATGGCCGGGTTTGAGAGGACTGGGTGTAAAAACGAACGCAAAAAAACAACATTCAAAACATTTCCATAGCGCTCGCGCGCCAAAGCGTAAACCTAGAAAGCAGCGCTTGATTGTAAACCGAGACACTAGAGCGTGCTCACAGGCTACCGGTAAGCTGACCCGTTTTACTGTAGTAGCATTGCATTCCGGGCTTGACGAGGTGGATGACACTGTTGCAGACTGGGAAGCTTCAAGATTAGCTGGTGGATTTCTAGGTGCACGGCGACGAAGCAGACGTTCTTGCTTGGCTGAAACAACAAAAGCGATCAGTCTAATTATATTTATTCACTTTCTTTTGATTACATGTTATTTTCAGAAGATATATTTGAAAAACTGACCTTACTAGCCACTCTTAGTCCAGTTCTGGTTCTCTCTGTCTGTCTGTCTGTCTGTCTGTCTGTCTGTCTGTCTCTGTCACGCAAAGCTCCACTCTCCAGCATTGCGTGACAGAGGAAGGGCCAGAACTGGACCCTAGGAGGAAAGGTCGGGGATGCTCGTCATCTCGTTTAGGGGTATAATTCAAGGATTCTGGTCTCACTTAGGGTGTTGATGACAAAACGCCACAATGTTTAGCTGTCGAAGAATCTTTTAGGGTGCACTTGAAGAAATTGTAATAAAAGAAATGCTCTTATTTCCCGTCTCTCGAGCCTGGTCTACTAGTGTGGGCTCCTTTCCTGAACAGTGGCTGGTAATCGAGCTTATTCCATTTAAATCAAAGAAAGCTTTGAGCCACCCCTAGACTTAGCGGTTTAATTGCACTCACCCTCTCCTTCCTTGGTTTCTGTTTGATTTGTGAACAAATTTGTAAACTCTTGCTTGATGGGCGAGCTCTCCGTGGATGAACTCACTACTCCATATTTATCCTCTCCTGATATTTTTCCATTCAACTCATCTTGATGTCCTTCTTTAGTTTCTGCTGGGTGTGGAGTGAGTTTCATGACCATCTGGTATTGTTCCCGTTCAAAGTTGTAGAGAAGCAATGTGGGAAGAGTGAAATCAAAATATATGCGAAGACCATCCATAACTTCCTTAATCAAGTTTGAGCTGTTGATCAAAAAATTGTGACATATTTACGGGACATAGAGAACAGACCACAGCCAGAATGATGTAAGAAAGCTGCATGTTTATAAAAACTGAGCCAAAGTATGGTGCTGAGTAACTTTTTTTCATCATTCACATGGAATACTGTTAGTACAGAAAAGCTTGGTTCCCCAGAGATGGGGGGTACTCTAGAAAGTTTTACATGGGGAAACACTGCCTCAAGGTCGAATCCCTTACCCCTATGTATGCCATTTTGACAGAAAACTTAAGGTACCTCTTTCCTATACTTTTTATTAAAAAAGGTAATCTTAAGAAAACCGAATTCCTTTTCTAAACCCTTGGAATGAATAATATTAGCAGAAAACATCAAGCATTACCAGAAGAGATGTTAACCAGAGAGTATTTCATATTTGGTTCATGTTCACCTTGGACATAAGTGACAGATTTTCCTAACATTCCATTTACCTCGACTTGTGAAATCCCCACCCTTTTATTTTCCTGAAGCCTGTAAAAGGTACTCCTGTAAGGCAGAGCCTCCCCAAATATGCCATTATCTGGAATACCCCCTCGCCCTCCCCAGGGTTGGTTCCCAGGCTAAAAAATATATTGTCCTCACTCCTTGCTGACTGCAAAGTCAAATAGTTTTGATTTTTACTTAGTTTGTAACCATGATCACCAAATAAAAATGGTTCCAGCTGAAATTAAACAAGTTCTCCCAACTTTTGCTATAAGAAATGCACAGAGACCCATAAGGAGAACTTATCTATTGATTATGGTTTGCACTGGAAGCATATCACCTTTTCAAGGTGATATGCTTCTGTTTATACATGTAGAGTTTATCAATTGAAAAGTTACTTACAACAAATTGTTTTACATTTGTCAAAACAATTATGAACACATGTGCATGCACATGTAGTAAAGGTATCTCTCAATCAGATTATCATTATTTTTTAATCTACCTCTGCTCAGGATAGAAGTCCTGATAATGCTGGAAATAATTATTTAGAACTTGAGCAACATTCGGTGTCCTAGGCAGCTGTACAAGCTAATGAAAAAAAATATTATCTAATGAGTAAACATTTTACTGTAATTATGACTTATAATTGTGGGAAATGCAGTGGCCTCATGGTTAGTGCGCTCGTCTCTGGATCGAGTGGTCCAGGTTTGAGCCCTGGCNCTGCGATGGACTAGCATCCCATCCAGGGGGGAGTAGAAATACTCCTAGTCGCTTCATGCTACAGAAGCCGGGATAAGCTCCGGCCTGATGGGGCACTTGGCTCGTACGCAGACTTTACCTTTACCTGACTTATAAATTACAGTTCTCTTTATTTTAGGACTCTGACATTCTCAGGAGAAAAAAAGTAACTAACTTCAATAATTCTTAAGTGTTGTCAACATATTCAAATATTCCATGATGCTGAATTGAGACATTCAAGACAATGAGTCAGTCATAAATTATACCTATTGGATGAGTGTATTATTTTGTAGTCTGCTTTGTCATCTGAATGTAAAATCGAACATTCACTCGAATAAAACAAAAGAATGGTGTTATGACTACAAGTCCTCAGGTCTATCAATTAATATATCATTGTTACAGTTCTTGTTTGGCTGTTATGTTTGTAATTATTTAGTCACATATTAAATTGTACAGGGTTATGCTTGCCTTCTTTTTTCTTTTAATAAAATAGCAGTCATCTTCTAGTTTCAGCTTAAGCTGGCTTGGTATTTCAATTTCAACTTTAGGTAGCTCTGGGTTTTCGACCTCCAAAAGAAAGTAGAACAACATTTTAAGTAAACAAATACCGTGCCATCCAGTTAATGCTTGCTCAGTTTGCCTGCTTGTTTCAGTGTATTATTGCAATACAAGGACTCTTTTCACAATAAACTGCACTGAAATTTCACACTGTACATACCACTTCTGAAATAGATTTTGCTTCAGATTTGTTAATGCCATCAGAATCCTTACTCTCTGAACCTTGTGTCAACCTCCTTTTCTTTTTCACCCTTGATCTGCCATTAAATTACCGGTAAAAGTTAATTAATAATGATAATAGGACTGAGAGGAGTCCAATTATATTTTGCTGTGCAATCATACATACGGATAACAAAATTGGATGCCTGTGAAGTTAGAGTCTGATTTGTTTAATTTCGAGTGCACAACTATGGAAAGAATTGGACAACAAGAATTCCTGAACAACCAATTAATATTCATCTTAATTAATGAAAAACAATACATGAGTTTGTTTTTAACCAACCGAAGATACATGTATGAAAAAAATACTAAAGAAATCCATTCTAAGTATATCAATTATATATCTGTTTTAGAATTTATATTAAGCGCCTGAGACCGAATGGCATGTACCATGTTGAATTACATTGTACAGTGACATTTTAAGACACACACACCGTTTCATATTTTTGGGTTAAAACTGGGTCTGGCGATAGAGAATCAGATGCAAGAATTTTGTATAGTAATGCTTTGATGAAAAAAGTTACAAATTAAACAATATAAACAAGCTTCTATCTTGAGAAATGGAACCAAGATGCCAAAACATGTTATTAAAGTAACAAGCATTAAATTACCTGTGATTATTTTTGCAACTTACTTCAGTGCTTGCTCATGGAGTCTAGACATGAGTGATCTGTTGTTTTCTGAATCTTTCAGAACTTGATCTTCCACAACCCAGCGATCCCAGCTAAAAGATGGCAATAAAAGAAACTTGTTTCAGGAGTTTGTCATAACAATGAAATCATCTTTGAAATATGATGCTTACTGCCTAATATATGAAATTTTTGCTACTAATAAAAATTATGAAAAATATGCTTTGAAAATACTGGCTGAAATCCATAGTTTTACATTACATCTTTCAGACATCGTGCCTAATCAAGTGGCAATTGGCTGTGACATAAGGGTAATAATTATGAAGTATGACAAAGTTCTTTGTTGTATGTTTCTGTTCTATTTCTTGGACCAGGCACAAAACACTTGTTCACTTCTGACTGAGGAACTAACCAAGGAAAATGTTTCAGCTATGTAATTCATGCACTGTGTATGAGTGAAAAAGAAAAGATTTATACAAGGTCTTCCAACATAAAACTTTGAAGTTTCATAACCATTCACCATGGTTGAGGGATTACCAAATCTATTGACATCTTTTGTTTTGTTTTTTCAAATCTACTGGAAACTCTTCTTGAAGCCAAGCAAGGGTCAAGACCGTAAATAAGATTTAAAAAGTAAACAAACAAACAAACAGTACTGTATTGCCACACAATACCATACTTATTCCACACTTAGTGATTTGCTGAAGAGTTAGCTGATTGAGTCACAAACAAGTCACCAGCTCTTGGTGTCTGAGCACGTTACTTAAGATCATGAAGAAAACACAACAAGCATGCAAGTCAAGTACTACCTTCTGTTCCAACCATTGAAATGGATAAAATATTCTGGAACTCGTTTTCCTTTGTCATCTTTTGTGATGTCAACTTCCAGAACCTGTGGAAAGAAACATGACATCATAGAAACTCATCAATTTAACTCTAAAGGTAAACTATAAATCAAATTAGAACTCAATAGATTGTTTTTGCTACTGCACGTGCATACGAACTTGCGTTAACTTCAATTATAATTTTTTTTTTATTGGGATACTTAATTTAAATAGCGAGATGTATTTTGGAACAATTGCCAAAGGTTCATCTATTGAAAAAAACACTTAAAGCTAATTTTTAAAAGAACCGTAGTAGTACTTGGCTCTCATTAGTGTAAATATGCTTGCGGCTCCACCGGGCTTCCGTTAATTACCACAAAGCGGATTAAAAACTAGCCAAACCGTTAAATGAATTAACACCTCAGGCCCAACGGGACAATAAACAAATAACATTCACTAGTCCGATCGGTGAGCGCAAAACCACGGGTTGAGCACAAAACATGGTATATTTCTCCTGGTGTCTTCTGGAGTAGAAACCACGCACGCCGAACTGTCATGTCACACAAGCCCATGTCAATCACTCAATGTCAGAAAATCTTGGTCAATTCACTGACTAACATGAAAACCGTACGTTCTACAAAATTTACCTTCGACTCGTACAACACTCGGGCCTTGTTTGGATCTGGCTCATAGCAAAGAACCTTTTCTCCGACCACAAATTTGGGAACTGGATTACTTCTTGTCTCACGACCTGTCGCCATCTTTTGAGCTGTTTTGATATACGTCATATAGGGTGAAACGAAAGGTACTCCCAAATGATGCAACCGCTGATGATAATGATCGCAGGCAGAGCGCGCACCTGTTTTGGAAGAAAACCACTGAAAAGGTGATTCCATGTGATTGACTGATCAGCTTCGAAAGTAAGAATTTTTCGTGGAATATGTTCAAAAAGTAAGTCGATTGGTTATTTTCGTGCCGCAAATTTTGCTTTTTTGGAGGGGTCCTTTTTTGCTTTATGCTTTCCAAAAATTCTAGACTTGCACAGTGTTGCATGGTGTTCCAGCAAAGCGACTACTTGAACAGGGGTATGCAAGTTGAAGAATGTTACAAGCCTTTTATATCGCCATATGGTCGCTGTAAAAAGGAAGGCTATTCAGGGTCTATAAGATAAGTGTGAGCCATACTTACTCTCAGCATGTGAAGACATCTTTCCAAGGTCATGCCAACTTTTTTGCCATACATCGACTCTACGTATCATCCTATGGTTCATAGTAAGAATACTCAATTTTTTGGTCACACTCAGTCTAATAACTCATTAAGATCGTACTTTTGAAAAAGGACGAGATTTATGTCCATTTCTTTAGGAGGACTGCAACATTTCTCGGGTTCTTAGATTTTACTGAAACAATGTGGTCTGAAAATTAGGAAATGATTTAATACACATTATTACTGGCAAAAAAATCAGGTAAGGTAGGTTGGAGGGAGGGCTGTTAGGGACCAGATTCAAATGGAACATTCCGAGGAAAGGGTGAGGAGAAATTCAAGCACAAAGCTTGCCTTTCTGGGTTGATTTGCTTGTGTTTGGCCATGTATAGCCTTCAGCTGAAACAAATTATTTGTTCCAGTGACATGACTGTATTAGGAATTTTATAGATAGATGGCAGTAAGACAAGAAGCCATTTCTAATTTGTCTTTTGTCTCTGTTTCAAAATGAGTCCTTCCAAAAAAGCTGACTGAGATTATGAATTGTGCAATATAATTTTTTTTGTTTTCGTAAGATTTCAGGCAAAAGAATCTGTTTCAGGAGTAAGTCAAGTGAAGTCATCCATTCAGCGAGGGATAAAAACCAAACTGGTAGAACAATTTCCTCCAATAGATGATTACATAGCTCAAATATTTCCTAAAAAGGAACCACTTGTAGTTGTAAAATGGTGAGTCTTCCAAACTAGTAACACAGTAATCTCTAAATTAGCATGAACCCATCCAAAACACAACTCCTGCTCTCCGAAAAACTGTAAATTCCACACGTAATTAATGTACATGCAACTGAAGTTACCGGTAATTGCAAATTATTGTATGCATAACTTGCAAATTCAAAATGTCTCTGAGCGCATGCACGCTATTCACGTGCCACGCCACATTGGTGTAAACCTTGGGTACTGTCACAGACTCTGTAAAACACATCCAAATTTAATATCTTTCCATGCCCTCCCCCTCCAGTTGCCCTTGAGAAATCCATCCTGTATCAAGTGATTTTATATGTATTTGTGTATTTTCCATAGTCATGAGCACATAGAAATATTATCCATTAATCAAGAGATCCTGTTCTTCAGACAAAGGGAAAGTGAATACTTACCTTCACTTAGACTTTTACACAAATGTAAGTGCTGTAGTGTTAAATTGATGCCATGTCAGTGACCTCCATTACATTGTTGTTAAGTGTAGAAGAAATTGTACCCACTACCATTATACCTCTATGAAGCATGACCACTGCCTCATAAGTATGTGGGCTTTCTCAAGTTGTTAATGTGTGTGGTTTAGGTCATCAGATGAATTTGAGAGCTCCGAGTCATCTTGAAAACCATAGAAAAGTAACAGTAAACTTGTTTCCATGCAATGTTGAGTTACTGAGTAATGTTAGTATTAAGCTCATATAAATTTTTAAGAACACTTGTCTGGGAAAGTGTGAGACTTGCTAGGCACAACCCTTCCTTCAATGTGCACTATTTCTATCATGCCCTTAAAAATTCTTGTATGCTTAAATAATATATAGCTCAGCAATGCACTGAATGAGCGGTATCTGACATGAAATTTTTTATCACATAAAAATGCCTTGTTTACATTATCAAACGTCTTTAAATCGGTCATCAAACAGGTCTGTAAAAGATTAAACAGTAAGTTTGTTTCATTTTTTCTCCTAGATCCTGTCATCTTACCATGTCAACAAGTTGACAAAGGAGCAATCAAATTTCTTTTAAGTGGTGCAAATGTAATGTGTCGTGGCTTGACCAGTCCAGGAGCTAAACTAGCTGACTTACCCAAAGGAGCAATAGTTGTATCCTATCTTTATGTCATGTCATGTCATCTGATTTCACGTCATTCCATGTTTCTTTAGTTGCATCATGTTGCATAATGTCATGACCTGTCATTCCATGTCTTGTTGGTGTGATGTCATGTTGTGTCATATGCCATCTTGTTTATAATAGTGTCTTGTTGTGCCATTCTGTGTCTCGTTGGTGTCATATACAGTGTAATGTTGCATGAAAAATACCCTGCAATGGACTAGCATCCCCTTCATACTATGGACACCAGGTTAAGGCAGGAGCTTCTTAGATTCTGGACTTTTCGGATCATGTGTACTAAAGGCATCCGTGATCAAGTGTCGACTGATACCCTCTATCCACACTCAATCACTTGATGGACGTCTCTATCGTTACCCAGTCGGCACTCAATCTACACTTGATTGGCAGTCAGTTGACTGTCGGTCGGGTGCTGACTGACTCATATGTATTGATCGACATTCAATGGCATGTCTACAAAAATTATTAGACTCTCGACCGAGATGTCAATCAAGTGTCAACCAGGTGTCAACCGAGGTGGTGATTGAGTATCGATCAAGGGTCGATAGAGGGTATCGATCAAGGGTATCGATCGATACTCAACTGTGGATGCCTTTAGTACACATTATCCAACTTTTCTTTCCTATTCAATAACTAGCATCCAATTTTTCCTCACCGCCTGCCATACAAAATTAATGTTATTATGCCTTGTGAGAATTTTAAGAATTTCTACAAAGTTTTTGTTCAAATGATCATGTCTTTCTTTCTTCCACCCTTGGTGTTCTTTGTTTTTTCCTTAACTAAAGCTCAGGCAATAACAGCTGAGGGAAAACAACATGCAATAGCGATTGGAAAAATGACAATGTCCGCAGATGAAATGTAAGTACATGACATTTGCACATCTTAGGGAAAAAAAAAGTGTAACACTTCAAATAAGTTGCTTGACAATCTGTCATAAAAAAAATCTTGACCTGTAGATAATCCTTATAATGTGCGTTATGATTAACAAACCTGTCCGACTTGCAATCCAAATGACCCAAATATTGCATGTGAATATCACAAATACGTGCATGACCATCCAAATAATGTGCGTGACAATCCAAACAAAATGTGTGACCCATGACAATCCAAATGACATGAGTGGAAAAAAAAACGTGCTTGTCTTGGTTCATAAGATTGTGTCAAAAGAAGAACTATGGCCTGAGGGATATTTCCAATAACAACCAGTAGGGGGAAGCTCCACCCAACTTAGGGTTACCTATTTTGGGTTTCAGGTTTTTAAAAGGGTAGGGATTTCACAAGATGAGGTATTTGCGAAAGGGTAGGGAAATTTGTGATTTACGCATAACATGAACTTTTTTTTTTAAAAAAAAAAAAGGTATACAAAATGGATACCTTTTCTGACAAAATGGTGTACAAAAGGGTAAGGGGTTGGACTTGGGGAGGAGCTTCCTTGTAGAAAACTTTGTAGAGTACCCCATGGGAAGTATGGATGCAGATCGAAGCTATTTTATTGTTTTTTTCTTTCAACAGACGGCAAACAAACAAAGGCATTGGCATTGAGGTGATTCACTTTTTGAATGATGGACTCTGGCAAATGAAACAGCTGGAAAAATGATAAAAAGTATATAAAACGAAATGTATGAAACACTGAAATGTGCTGGACAAACACTGGATGACATTCTGCAAGAACATCCTCTATTACAAACTTGGAAAGCCATGAACTCTAATGGAATTAGAGGGGAAGGAAAGTCCAAGATGTTATCATACACACTAGTAATAATAATAAAAGGAACATTTTGTAATTTTCAAAATTTTGTAGTGATGTAAACTACATGGTATTATATAAATTACATGGTATTGTATAAAATTGTTGGTCTTTAATCATACAAGCTATATCTTTTTCACTGGTGTGATTACAACACATACCTTGCGAGACAGACTTTCCCTTCTTTCTTTTCTCTCACCGAGCAGAAAGAGAAGGGAAAAAAAATTATTATCTGTCTTGGGGGGTACAACAAACAAAGTTCTGTTCCTAATAATTGTTAACAAAAAAAAAAGATTGGAAGCTAAAAATAAGCTGAAAACTATTAATCATTTTGGGGATAATAATCTGAACACTTACTCCAATTCCTAACTTTCTATCGCAATTCACGAGTTAAATATGGTTGAATTGTCTTTGAGCCATGGTATTCAAGTGCAACTGTTCAATACTGTGCAGGTGCTGTTCAGCCCTCCAAGGTGTGACACTCTGGGCATGTGCAGTATTAAACAAATTATAAAAGGAGCATGACACAAAAATTTAGGGTCTGCTGATAACCAATTAGATTCGAAAATTTTGAAAACTGTTTAAATCTCCGTTTTCCCCATTGAAACAATTTCTAAATGTTCGATCCAGTGCATCGCTAAAGAGACTGGAGGCGTCAGGATTCTATGATGAGAGATCAAGATTAGAAGAACCCGCCTTCCAAAGAACGTTCCCACGAAAAATCGTTTTATTTATAGATTTAACTGCCCGGCCTAGGGCGAGCGCGGTTCTTAAAATGTGAAGCGTTTTTCTACCGCTTTTTTCAGTCGGAACAGTGGCGAATACAGTTTGAAAAACCGCGTCGGCTTTTCCCGCGCACATTGCTTAACACTGTCTATTAAATATATAGGCTGATTCAGCTAGTTCAACTCCAAGCAGTTCTTACCTTTGAATTAATCAGTGGAGTCCTCTGTGTTCTCTACCAGCCAAACCCTCCAACAACTGGTCGGCAAAATCCTGACCGCGCTTGAAACCAACCGTTGGACACAAAATTATACGGGAACAATGTTTTAGTTACAAAATATTGCTAGGTTACCGGAGTCTTACCGGGCCTCAAGCAAGGACTGCACGTTCCAAAAAACGTAATTACCAGATAACCAGTTGTATCTAGGTAGAATATGACAGCCACAATGATCTTCCGCGAGCGGATCAACGTGGGAAAAGGGAGCGCCAAGGGAAAAGAAATCGATCTAATTTCATTCTGTGAATGACAGCAGAACAGACCATTTTTGTTTGCTGGTAAATAAAATTTTAATAAACAACTAACATTATATTATTTTATCTTGATTTTTTCGCGCTCTTCACTGACCTCGCGCGTGACTCGCGCTTCGCGCTTGCCTCGCTTTCGCCTCTGTTCGCCTAAAATACGCAAAAAAAATTACGCCTGTTCTGCAGGCTACAGTTAGCACGGTTAGGTCGGTCAGCACGGTTAGGTATGCTTGCGGTTAGTTTCACTCCATTTTGCTTGTGGTTAGCTTTCATTTGTATGTTAGGGTAACTCTATATTAATTTAAAGTACAGTTCATTATGTGTAATTAAAATTTTGGTGGTTCTAGGTAGTAGTAGTTAGCAGCACAGTGGACCATCACCCGTTGGGTTCCTGGTGTACCANGTATATTTCTCCTGGTGTCTTCTGGAGTAGAAACCACGCACGCCGAACTGTCATGTCACACAAGCCCATGTCAATCACTCAATGTCAGAAAATCTTGGTCAATTCACTGACTAACATGAAAACCGTACGTTCTACAAAATTTACCTTCGACTCGTACAACACTCGGGCCTTGTTTGGATCTGGCTCATAGCAAAGAACCTTTTCTCCGACCACAAATTTGGGAACTGGATTACTTCTTGTCTCACGACCTGTCGCCATCTTTTGAGCTGTTTTGATATACGTCATATAGGGTGAAACGAAAGGTACTCCCAAATGATGCAACCGCTGATGATAATGATCGCAGGCAGAGCGCGCACCTGTTTTGGAAGAAAACCACTGAAAAGGTGATTCCATGTGATTGACTGATCAGCTTCGAAAGTAAGAATTTTTCGTGGAATATGTTCAAAAAGTAAGTCGATTGGTTATTTTCGTGCCGCAAATTTTGCTTTTTTGGAGGGGTCCTTTTTTGCTTTATGCTTTCCAAAAATTCTAGACTTGCACAGTGTTGCATGGTGTTCTAGCAAAGCGACTACTTGAACAGGGGTATGCAAGTTGAAGAATGTTACAAGCCTTTTATATCGCCATATGGTCGCTGTAAAAAGGAAGGCTATTCAGGGTCTATAAGATAAGTGTGAGCCATACTTACTCTCAGCATGTGAAGACATCTTTCCAAGGTCATGCCAACTTTTTTGCCATACATCGACTCTACGTATCATCCTATGGTTCATAGTAAGAATACTCAATTTTTTGGTCACACTCAGTCTAATAACTCATTAAGATCGTACTTTTGAAAAAGGACGAGATTTATGTCCATTTCTTTAGGAGGACTGCAACATTTCTCGGGTTCTTAGATTTTACTGAAACAATGTGGTCTGAAAATTAGGAAATGATTTAATACACATTATTACTGGCAAAAAAATCAGGTAAGGTAGGTTGGAGGGAGGGCTGTTAGGGACCAGATTCAAATGGAACATTCCGAGGAAAGGGTGAGGAGAAATTCAAGCACAAAGCTTGCCTTTCTGGGTTGATTTGCTTGTGTTTGGCCATGTATAGCCTTCAGCTGAAACAAATTATTTGTTCCAGTGACATGACTGTATTAGGAATTTTATAGATAGATGGCAGTAAGACAAGAAGCCATTTCTAATTTGTCTTTTGTCTCTGTTTCAAAATGAGTCCTTCCAAAAAAGCTGACTGAGATTATGAATTGTGCAATATAATTTTTTTTGTTTTCGTAAGATTTCAGGCAAAAGAATCTGTTTCAGGAGTAAGTCAAGTGAAGTCATCCATTCAGCGAGGGATAAAAACCAAACTGGTAGAACAATTTCCTCCAATAGATGATTACATAGCTCAAATATTTCCTAAAAAGGAACCACTTGTAGTTGTAAAATGGTGAGTCTTCCAAACTAGTAACACAGTAATCTCTAAATTAGCATGAACCCATCCAAAACACAACTCCTGCTCTCCGAAAAACTGTAAATTCCACACGTAATTAATGTACATGCAACTGAAGTTACCGGTAATTGCAAATTATTGTATGCATAACTTGCAAATTCAAAATGTCTCTGAGCGCATGCACGCTATTCACGTGCCACGCCACATTGGTGTAAACCTTGGGTACTGTCACAGACTCTGTAAAACACATCCAAATTTAATATCTTTCCATGCCCTCCCCCTCCAGTTGCCCTTGAGAAATCCATCCTGTATCAAGTGATTTTATATGTATTTGTGTATTTTCCATAGTCATGAGCACATAGAAATATTATCCATTAATCAAGAGATCCTGTTCTTCAGACAAAGGGAAAGTGAATACTTACCTTCACTTAGACTTTTACACAAATGTAAGTGCTGTAGTGTTAAATTGATGCCATGTCAGTGACCTCCATTACATTGTTGTTAAGTGTAGAAGAAATTGTACCCACTACCATTATACCTCTATGAAGCATGACCACTGCCTCATAAGTATGTGGGCTTTCTCAAGTTGTTAATGTGTGTGGTTTAGGTCATCAGATGAATTTGAGAGCTCCGAGTCATCTTGAAAACCATAGAAAAGTAACAGTAAACTTGTTTCCATGCAATGTTGAGTTACTGAGTAATGTTAGTATTAAGCTCATATAAATTTTTAAGAACACTTGTCTGGGAAAGTGTGAGACTTGCTAGGCACAACCCTTCCTTCAATGTGCACTATTTCTATCATGCCCTTAAAAATTCTTGTATGCTTAAATAATATATAGCTCAGCAATGCACTGAATGAGCGGTATCTGACATGAAATTTTTTATCACATAAAAATGCTTTGTTTACATTATCAAACGTCTTTAAATCGGTCATCAAACAGGTCTGTAAAAAGATTACAGTACTTACTTTCAATGATCATTTATTACCTTTTAAAATAAATTTAAAATAACTGTTATATGGGTCACCATAGACCTTTGTAGTTAACATCACCAGTGCAAAATTTCATGTGCACAATGCTTGTGGCACAAGCATGGTGTTTATTTCTAGAGCACAGAGTGACAATGTTCAAAACTTCTCTTATGGCTAGCAGACCTGATTGTAACAATAACAGTAAGTTTGTTTCATTTTTTCTCCTAGATCCTGTCATCTTACCATGTCAACAAGTTGACAAAGGAGCAATCAAATTTCTTTTAAGTGGTGCAAATGTAATGTGTCGTGGCTTGACCAGTCCAGGAGCTAAACTAGCTGACTTACCCAAAGGAGCAATAGTTGTATCCTATCTTTATGTCATGTCATGTCATCTGATTTCACGTCATTCCATGTTTCTTTAGTTGCATCATGTTGCATAATGTCATGACCTGTCATTCCATGTCTTGTTGGTGTGATGTCATGTTGTGTCATATGCCATCTTGTTTATAATAGTGTCTTGTTGTGCCATTCTGTGTCTCGTTGGTGTCATATACAGTGTAATGTTGCATGAAAAATACCCTGCAATGGACTAGCATCCCCTTCATACTATGGACACCAGGTTAAGGCAGGAGCTTCTTAGATTCTGGACTTTTCGGATCATGTGTACTAAAGGCATCCGTGATCAAGTGTCGACTGATACCCTCTATCCACACTCAATCACTTGATGGACGTCTCTATCGTTACCCAGTCGGCACTCAATCTACACTTGATTGGCAGTCAGTTGACTGTCGGTCGGGTGCTGACTGACTCATATGTATTGATCGACATTCAATGGCATGTCTACAAAAATTATTAGACTCTCGACCGAGATGTCAATCAAGTGTCAACCAGGTGTCAACCGAGGTGGTGATTGAGTATCGATCAAGGGTCGATAGAGGGTATCGATCAAGGGTATCGATCGATACTCAACTGTGGATGCCTTTAGTACACATTATCCAACTTTTCTTTCCTATTCAATAACTAGCATCCAATTTTTCCTCACCGCCTGCCATACAAAATTAATGTTATTATGCCTTGTGAGAATTTTAAGAATTTCTACAAAGTTTTTGTTCAAATGATCATGTCTTTCTTTCTTCCACCCTTGGTGTTCTTTGTTTTTTCCTTAACTAAAGCTCAGGCAATAACAGCTGAGGGAAAACAACATGCAATAGCGATTGGAAAAATGACAATGTCCGCAGATGAAATGTAAGTACATGACATTTGCACATCTTAGGGAAAAAAAAAGTGTAACACTTCAAATAAGTTGCTTGACAATCTGTCATAAAAAAAATCTTGACCGGTAGATAATCCTTATAATGTGCGTTATGATTAACAAACCTGTCCGACTTGCAATCCAAATGACCCAAATATTGCATGTGAATATCACAAATACGTGCATGACCATCCAAATAATGTGCGTGACAATCCAAACAAAATGTGTGACCCATGACAATCCAAATGACATGAGTGGAAAAAAAAACGTGCTTGTCTTGGTTCATAAGATTGTGTCAAAAGAAGAACTATGGCCTGAGGGATATTTCCAATAACAACCAGTAGGGGGAAGCTCCACCCAACTTAGGGTTACCTATTTTGGGTTTCAGGTTTTTAAAAGGGTAGGGATTTCACAAGATGAGGTATTTGCGAAAGGGTAGGGAAATTTGTGATTTACGCATAACATGAACTTTTTTTTTTAAAAAAAAAAAAGGTATACAAAATGGATACCTTTTCTGACAAAATGGTGTACAAAAGGGTAAGGGGTTGGACTTGGGGAGGAGCTTCCTTGTAGAAAACTTTGTAGAGTACCCCATGGGAAGTATGGATGCAGATCGAAGCTATTTTATTGTTTTTTTCTTTCAACAGACGGCAAACAAACAAAGGCATTGGCATTGAGGTGATTCACTTTTTGAATGATGGACTCTGGCAAATGAAACAGCTGGAAAAATGATAAAAAGTATATAAAACGAAATGTATGAAACACTGAAATGTGCTGGACAAACACTGGATGACATTCTGCAAGAACATCCTCTATTACAAACTTGGAAAGCCATGAACTCTAATGGAATTAGAGGGGAAGGAAAGTCCAAGATGTTATCATACACACTAGTAATAATAATAAAAGGAACATTTTGTAATTTTCAAAATTTTGTAGTGATGTAAACTACATGGTATTATATAAATTACATGGTATTGTATAAAATTGTTGGTCTTTAATCATACAAGCTATATCTTTTTCACTGGTGTGATTACAACACATACCTTGCGAGACAGACTTTCCCTTCTTTCTTTTCTCTCACCGAGCAGAAAGAGAAGGGAAAAAAAATTATTATCTGTCTTGGGGGGTACAACAAACAAAGTTCTGTTCCTAATAATTGTTAACAAAAAAAAAAGATTGGAAGCTAAAAATAAGCTGAAAACTATTAATCATTTTGGGGATAATAATCTGAACACTTACTCCAATTCCTAACTTTCTATCGCAATTCACGAGTTAAATATGGTTGAATTGTCTTTGAGCCATGGTATTCAAGTGCAACTGTTCAATACTGTGCAGGTGCTGTTCAGCCCTCCAAGGTGTGACACTCTGGGCATGTGCAGTATTAAACAAATTATAAAAGGAGCATGACACAAAAATTTAGGGTCTGCTGATAACCAATTAGATTCGAAAATTTTGAAAACTGTTTAAATCTCCGTTTTCCCCATTGAAACAATTTCTAAATGTTCGATCCAGTGCATCGCTAAAGAGACTGGAGGCGTCAGGATTCTATGATGAGAGATCAAGATTAGAAGAACCCGCCTTCCAAAGAACGTTCCCACGAAAAATCGTTTTATTTATAGATTTAACTGCCCGGCCTAGGGCGAGCGCGGTTCTTAAAATGTGAAGCGTTTTTCTACCGCTTTTTTCAGTCGGAACAGTGGCGAATACAGTTTGAAAAACCGCGTCGGCTTTTCCCGCGCACATTGCTTAACACTGTCTATTAAATATATAGGCTGATTCAGCTAGTTCAACTCCAAGCAGTTCTTACCTTTGAATTAATCAGTGGAGTCCTCTGTGTTCTCTACCAGCCAAACCCTCCAACAACTGGTCGGCAAAATCCTGACCGCGCTTGAAACCAACCGTTGGACACAAAATTATACGGGAACAATGTTTTAGTTACAAAATATTGCTAGGTTACCGGAGTCTTACCGGGCCTCAAGCAAGGACTGCACGTTCCAAAAAACGTAATTACCAGATAACCAGTTGTATCTAGGTAGAATATGACAGCCACAATGATCTTCCGCGAGCGGATCAACGTGGGAAAAGGGAGCGCCAAGGGAAAAGAAATCGATCTAATTTCATTCTGTGAATGACAGCAGAACAGACCATTTTTGTTTGCTGGTAAATAAAATTTTAATAAACAACTAACATTATATTATTTTATCTTGATTTTTTCGCGCTCTTCACTGACCTCGCGCGTGACTCGCGCTTCGCGCTTGCCTCGCTTTCGCCTCTGTTCGCCTAAAATACGCAAAAAAAATTACGCCTGTTCTGCAGGCTACAGTTAGCACGGTTAGGTCGGTCAGCACGGTTAGGTATGCTTGCGGTTAGTTTCACTCCATTTTGCTTGTGGTTAGCTTTCATTTGTATGTTAGGGTAACTCTATATTAATTTAAAGTACAGTTCATTATGTGTAATTAAAATTTTGGTGGTTCTAGGTAGTAGTAGTTAGCAGCACAGTGGACCATCACCCGTTGGGTTCCTGGTGTACCAAACCTTTTCCGTCGCTGAACTTGGACCAGTCTCTCTCGTTCTGTACATGATGTGGAGGCTCCCAGCGGCGGGAAAACGAAGTTGATCTAAAGATGGCGGGGTTGGCGGAATGTAAGCTCAGCAGAGAAGGGGACGAACTTCCACGGTGCTCAACGCTTTTTCTGACGGAGGATGGGTCGCAAATGAACTTCTACATGACGCCTTGTGCAATGAAGACCCGATTACGACCGCTGATACACGTAAGTCTTCGTTAAGGTCTTAATACATACTACATTGCTTTGAATGTTTACGATTCATTCAGTAGAAATGTGTCATTCCAGAGGTTGAAGTTTCACATGATTGGTGCTTTTAGAACCCATTCAAAGCAGGCTTACTTTGATTGACTTCGTGTTTTCATGGAGTTATATGAATATACATTTTTTTTAGCATGGAGGAGGTCATCTGTCCAGCAAGGTCTTGACAGACTCCATAAAGTGAGTAAACTTCTTGTACGTATGCATGCACGTTGCGCTGATATTTAACGCAACATTCGAATTTCACATGTTTTCTTTCCGTGCAGTTTGATTAATCATTCACTGTTGATGTTTGTTGGCTTTTAGTGCCTTAATATATCACTGCCTACATGTGGTAGTGTACTGATTTTCTGGGTAAACGTTGGCAGGTTTGAGGAAGACTGTTGAGGTCACTGGTGACTGATGGTTTAACCCACTGAGTGGACGTTTTAGAGTCAAAATGACTCAGAAATGACAGCCCCAAATATTGATAAAAAAATTTAGATTTGTTAAAATTTTTCTTTGTCCCACGCTCGTGTCATGTTGATTAATTCACCTTCACATTTCATTACCGAGCTTAAAATTCACCATCTTTATTAACTTATCACTA